GTTAATTAAGAATGAGAGGCATGATTTCAAGCCCATTACATTGTATTGTATCGTATCATTGTTTATTTTAACAGAATTCATAAAATCATAAGTGAGAAAGTTGTATAAACGTCTTTCATTTACTACTTCATTAATTATGAATGAACTGAAAACTCGAGTGAACATAACAAAGCTTATATGCAATTAAAATCCATGACCTCTTTTACCACCCTTCGATTTTTTTTAAAGTTACAGGGATTGTGTGAAATTCAAAATGTTTTAGGTTGCAAACCCAAAAATAACTAAACTGTCAAGAAGCATTAAACCACCTCTCCACGTATATTTATGGAAAGATGATAGACTGTCTGACTACTTCTTCACTGTGAAACATTAGTGTATTTGTATTAGCCGTATAAAAATAAGCGGAAAAACACTGATAAATCTGGACTTCAGAAGAAGTGGCTTCCAGTAGTTACTTAAAAATTATTGAGCACCTATTCTAACTAATTTCCCGTGTACATAAAAACAGTTTCAAACAGTTTTAAGCTGAGATTAGTTAGGAACTACTGAAAACAAGGTAACATTGAACACCGATTGGAGACCTCATATTAGCACCTAACAGCAGCAATATGCAAGACAGAATTCGAGACAGTCAGATTTATAGGTAAACATGTTGAGTAGACATTCCTAATGAACATTCTGCAGTTCTTTCAGCTGGTCAGAAACTACAAGCATTATCTAGTGTGATTGTTTATTAACTCTTCAGGCATCAGAGTCCTGTAGACAGCCACTAATAAGTAACAGAAAATATGGAACACTAGATTCAAAGGCATTAAGTGAATGAAAAGATGCTTACCAGAACACTAAAACTCAAGATTATATCTGACACGCGTCCAGACCCACACTGCTTAGGTCTGTCGAGGAAGTATGGAAGAGGTGTTTAAACCCACTACAGTAACTAATTTTTTGATTATTCTCAAGACAACGTTAATCTCTGATGATAACTACTTTAAACTCAGTTGAAAGTCTACAGACTTCCTAACTATACATGTTTTACATGTTCTTTCCTTGCGAAGTTAAGTACCGTGGAAGTACAATTTCATGAATACATGCGTCTATTTTACCAATTTTCCAAATAACTTTATAATGAATAGACTGTGAATTTGAAACAAAAATGATTGACAGTGTTACTAAAAATATCTTAAAGATGCGCTCTTTGCAATTTTTTAATCATTTCTAGATAAATATTTTCTCATAAACAATGAAAAATATTCATAGTAATAATTCAGATGAAGAAACAAAACGTGAAAGAAAAGTGTTTGTATCAGGGTTCACTATTTACATAGAATAGTCGCAGAAAACATAGGATACAAAGGCAGCTGGAACAGCTAATGAATACCAAGCTAAATGGAAAATCATTAAGCCCTAAATCCCCGAAGCCCTACCCTTCTGAATTATCATGATACATCTCATTCGCTAAGTTTATCTAATCTTTCTTGTTAGTCTGATACTATTGTAAACTTTAATCAGTAACCAGAACGACAAAGACAAAATGTCCTTCGTCAAAAGTGGCTCCCGGAGTTATGCCCTGTTCTATGAAGGAGAAAAAGAATACAGGATGACCCATATTGATAGTTATCAAGCTTATGTATAAGCCCCGAAGACTGAGGGTTATTTCAGAAAAACTTTGGGTTCATATACACTAACGTTTGCAGAATAAGATGGAATAGCCACTTATTTCACCCTGACTCTCAACGCTATCTGTGTATATATGAATGACAAAGAATTTAGATGTTCAATAATAATGCCAATTTTCTAAGTGTTGGTTTGCAGGGATTGCATTGGTTACAAGATTTCATCATAAGTTGATATAGGTCAAAGAACTATTGCAAAACCTAGGAGTACTGGATAACTGTTTCGTCCTCGTTTGGGATTCTTCGTCAGCACGCACCCACTGGGGCTCGGACCCTAGACCTCCCGGTTACGGGATGAGCTCAAAATGTAACGCGACTACTAGCGAACGTCAACTGAGACTATTTCTTCTCACATCCGACCTGCTGTACCCCATTGGTCATGACTTTGTTGACCAGTTGCAAACATTTTATTGTCCTTCTAAAGACATTGAATGCACTTAAACCAACCAGCTAAACAAACACAACAAACCAGTCACAAACGCTTAGTTAACAGCTTGGTTCTTCTAAAAATTTGGAGACTGTTATCGAATATACCTACGCATCGAAGAAGACATTGCGAAGTGACCGCAGAATTTAGAATTCATGGATCAATGGATCGAGTCCCAGTGGTTGAATGGTCTACGAGCTCGCCTTGTAACCAGAAGGTCCTGGGTTCGAACCTCAGTGTGTGCGTGCTGCTGAGGAGTCCCAGACTAGGACAGCTGTCCATTACTTCCAGGTTTTCCAATGGTTCTGTAACTGATGTCAGCTCATGATGAAATCCTTCAACCAATCAAACAAAATCCTTACAAAACCAATACTTGAAAATGCGGAAGAGTGGGTTAATATTCATTCACGAAAATCAAGTCATCTCGATAAATCCATATACTAAAATGAAATTTCGTTTCAATGTTGGACAACTAATGAACTTTTTAGCGCTATTTATCTACTTACTGATCAGGAAATAAATAATGCTTTATGATTGTGTACGATATCAAAAAAATTTGTTTTATTATTGAGTTACACTGTATCACGGTATTTAAATTCTACTCTTATATCCTTGATGTTTAGTTACGAGATGAATATATATATATATATATGCACCTGAACTCATTGAGAGAAGGGTCAAGGTCAAGATTTCCAGTAATCATTTAAACTGTTTTACATGGCCGTATAGATTTTATGTGTCTGAGTAGCTGACTACAAAAAACAAAAACAAAAGAAGAAAAACACCTACAACTTTTCTGTGTGTGAGTGTATGTGTGTACTGTAGTGGAATGTGAAATAAACAAAATTTCTAAGGTGTTCAAAATGCACATTATTGATTATACGATAATTTACACAATATAGATAACCAGGTGGCTGTATCTAATATTCTCTCTGATTGTGGAATTAGAATACTCTAAACAACAGCCAACAACAATCATTGTAGCAACTGAGGTACATAAATCAGTCTGATGATCCACTGAAGTGCAATCTGTAAATAAGTGAGTTTCAGAAATGAACTTAGCGCAGAATTGCAGCAGTTTAAGTCGTTACACTCCATAAAACACAAAAAGAAAAATAAGTTCTGATGCACTATGATGAGTAGAAATGTACAGCTGAAAGAATGGTAACATGGAAAAATATGAGGATTAAATAGGTCTGGGAGATTACAAAGATTGAATTCATCTGTGCTATTGAGTACAGTTTTGAGCTATATCACTAATAGTCTCTAACCATTGGTTTTAACCATTCCAAGGACCCGAACCAGGTAGTCTTCACCTCCTGACATGACTTAGACCAACTGTCAAAGATTTCACAGGCTGATGCCAGGTTTTGGATTGACCAGCCTTAACACTTTTCAAAAGTAATCTAACTTAAGCTAACATTTTTCAATACAGAAAAGTGGCTCATCATGCGTAACACGTGTCCTAGCCATCTCAGTCGATATAGCTTCATAACCTCATCGATTGACTTACCCTCATTACCTAACGCTCTACTCCTAACCTTGAGAGTATTCATCAGATTATACTAGTGTGCATCGGTGGCACAGCAGTAGGATGCTTGTCAATCACGCATGTGGTCTGGAGTTCGATCCCCAGCTGACGCACCTCTTTACCTCGCCAAACCAGTGATAAGACTGGTAGAGGAGGAAGGTTGGGCATGAGGCTAGCAACCCCACCCCGTAAAAATAAACACCACTGCCACCGAAACTTCGAGCCTCTAGCTTGAAGCTGTGTTACAATTGGAAAGTAAAGGATTAAAAAAAGATTTTACTAGTAACAGTTTCTTCTGCAGTTGATTAATTGAAACAAATAGAAGACAGTAAGCATATCCCAACTTGAAATGCGTTTCTTCTTAAATAATAATTGTTGAAAGCAAATAATGTATATAGTCGAGTATCCACAGCCTACACCTTAAATAGAAAAAAAACTCAGAAAATATCTTCAGAACACTGATCATATCGCCGTTTATAAATTTCTCAGCACCTGATCATTAAGGAGTAATTAAATTAGCAGCATAATTCAAAAACCGTTACAATGAATGTTTATCCTTGGTCGGAAGAAATTCTGGGAATATTCAAATTGCTAAAACAGATACCATTATAAAAGCATTCTCGTGAAAGAAAAATGGCTGTATTTAGTAAGTGTGTCTCACTACTATTTGTCTTGTTGTTTAGTTGAGACCAAAATACAAATTAAAAGATATGTAATTAGCTGAAGAAAGGTTTGATAATTATGCATGATTCAACTCTGACTTTTATTTTCAGTAAAAATGACTCATTCTCAAAAAAAGTTAAACAACTCCCAATGGTGAAATGATATCGACTGTTTATTTTGATTAGATTTTGTTTGTCTACAGATGACATATATTCGAAGATCGACTCCACGATACTTTCTACTTACCTAAATACACTCTCAATTCAGACTGTTTATCGCCTTAAAATCTGAGACTTGTCTAAAGGAAAGCACCAAGATCTTAAACAAAGTTAACTGTTTTTTTCCTTCATGTTCCCAGTGGAACATAGGGCTCCAAGCTAGTGGCTTTAAGTTTCTGTAGCAGTGGATGTGGTTGCTAGCCTCATGCCCAACCTTTCCTCTTTACCAGAATTATTTCTGGCTCAGCGAGGTTAAGAAGTGCGTCGACCGGGGATCGAACTCCGGACCATGTGCACGGTCGGCGAGCGTCCTAACCGCTATACCACCGACGCACAAAGTTGACTGTAATGTTGTTCAAAGTAGACAAAAGTAGTCTCCAGTGTTCTACTTTCAATACAGCCTACAAGTAGGTAATATCAGTTAAATTTAGAATAACAATTTATTGAATGAGTCTCAACATCTAGACAAAAAACGAACATTAAGTTACCGTTTCCGAAAATTTGTCCGTCTCTATGCTGATGAAGATTTGTTAGTCTTCATCTGTGAGTAGTTCCCAAATAACACTTTAATTACTCTTCACCGATTGAACTTGTAAAACACGTTTGCGTTAACATTACCGTGTGTCTTTAGATGCATATGACTGAGTGTAAGCATGACCAATAAGCAGAGAGATTTATTGACACAATCGATCAGTAGGTATGTTTACTCAGTTCATTGCCTCGTTATTAATAAGATTACATTAGTCATGATACAGTTGTTCTCTATAGTGATAAATAAAAATTAAGACATAATGGAATGTCAGATTGTTTTTTTACTCGCTTTATCTAAAGATAAATAATTAAGCTGAACATATGCCTTCCTGAGAGATAAAAGGATTTTCTTGTTCCATAAAGTTTATAAACATAATGTATATACAGATATATGAATGGTAATTCGACAAGAATTAAAACTCTTTCAGTCATTATTTAAAGAAAACATAAGTTTGATTGCATTTACACCAATAGTTTCTACTCATAGAAAGATGAGGAAAATTTCCTCCGATCTGAAACTGCGAATAACCACCCTGCTAGCTACGCTAATTCTTGTAGAAACTGCAGTTTTCATATTAACTTATATATATATATATATATATATATATATAATACGTATTAATTGACTAATATGGAAACGTAGTTTGATTTCAAACAGTGCAGTGTAATTGGTTTTACTCATATTTCTTTCCGGACATCTGAACTTCAATCTATCATTTAAACTACGATAACTGAATGCTGAGTGTGGCTGAATGATTTAAACTGAGAAACCAATAACAATGAAAACGATATTTATGGATTTCGACAAAACAATAAGAAGACGTAGTTTATCTGAAACGTATAATGTATTGGCGCAACACATTTCGGACATTCTGATCACACACGTACTTGTCATACACAGTTTTTATATAAGGCAAGAAAGCATGAATAATTACAATACAGGTCAGATTGTGTACAGGTCAAGGTCACAAAATAATGGGTAGGGAGACGCAAAAAGTGTGGGTAAGAAAGATAAAGGGAGGAAAAAAAGGCAAAGAAAGGGTTTGAAAATATTATGAAGTAAAATTGGTCCTTGGTTCTAAGTTGGATTACCAAGGCAGGTTTAAGGTGATAACAAATAACTTTTGGACGCATAAGACAGGTTTAAGTCTTTTAATGGCTAAGGCTTCAATGAATTTAAGTATGTGACCCAACCTTGTCTTATATATCGGCTTAAAGGCATTATTAAAATCAACCTTATGACCCGTCTCTATAATATGCTTCGCTATAGATGATGTTGGACATCTATTTCCCGGGTCAATTGTATCTGGCGATTTCATTTGTTGTTGCAGCCACTTTGGAATGTATTCTGTAGCCCTAACATGCAGAGACCGATGGGTCCTCCCTATGTACGTGTCTCCACACATACATGTAAATTGATAAACACAGTGGGATGTGACACTATCGTTCGGATAATGTGAGGGTTTACAGGACAGCATAGTTTTCGTTTTCTCTATGAAGATAAGTTTAGCTGCATAATAGGTTCTACTAATTGCGGCCTTTAGTCTTTGTCTAGTGACTAGACTTTGTTGATCACCTCTGAATGGCAAGGATATGTAAACATCCATTTTGGGAACTGATTGGATTGGTAAAGCTGTGTGGTTGACACTTCCATAACGTCTAATAAATCTCAGTGGGTAATTGTTATCTAACAATATTTCAGTGAGATGTTGTCTTTCTTCTTCAATTGTATCGGTGGTACATATACGGTGAACGCGCTTGAACAAACACTTAACCAACGCCTTTTTATCCTGTAGTGGACAGAAACTATAGTAATTTAGATACTGTCCAGTCCATGTTGACTTCCTGTGGACAGATCGTTTTATTGACCCATCTTCTCTGCGGGTTATGAGTACATCTAAAAATGGCAGGCTGATTTATTGCATATCCCCGCCAATAGTAGTGTTGTCGTCTGTTTCTATAATGGTTAAATGACAAGTTATATATTTTTTATGTGCTTTTTAAATTAAATTTTGCATTTTGTTTTAATTGTGTTTCTGAGATGATTAATTTAATTGCGAAGCTTTTGTTATCCTTTTGGACAACATCTTCAACGCAGGTTTTAGCATGAAATGAACTTAAAATTTTTTCTGAGGTACATAATATCGGTAGTGTAATTTACTTGAATTTTGTTATATTTACTGCCCTTTTATCCCAAAATACCACTTCATACTAACATCCACACAATCTAGTGAATGAAAGGAGGCATTAATTTCAAAAGTTAAACGTATATTTCTGAATTTTCATGAAATCATGCTAGTATATTTGGCCTATTTATTTAAACGCGCTAATACCCACCGGATAAAGCAGGTGGCGCCAAATCAAAAAAGAACATGTCCTACACCCATCGATATTCATGAGTGCAAAGTTGTCTCAAACTAACTCTACTGAAGTACTAAACTATAGACGTGTACTTCACTCACTAAGAAGCATAACAAGCGATTCGATGTATATATATATATATATATATATATATATATGCATGTATGCATGCTTGAACGATTTGTTAACTCAGCCGTTTAACGAAATCGAACAACTCATTTTTACCCATTTCAAATATTTTAATACCGGTTTTCCGTGACAGCTCTCATACCTTCATAGATAAAGGTTACTCAAATACTTCTGGATCCCTCCCTCCCATTTTCAAACAGAAATCCGGAGATTTTCCTGAATTAATGACTGCACAAGTATTACAGTTAAACAAATAAAGAATCATTCCTCGATTTATTTAATCCATTTAAAGTGTTTTGGTATGAGTGCGAAAGTGAAAAGTTATCATTTTTCCCACTTATTTGAGATAAACTTGAATAATTTAGGATGAGCAGTTCTTTCATTCAAGAACTGCAAGCTGACTGTAATAGTGCTCCCAATGACATTAGAACCCAGCATTGATTGTTATTAATCTAAAAGAGTTATTTACTAGGCGATTGAGCCACAGGCGCAACTATGGGGCAAATAAAAACAGCAGCATCGCGACATCAGTCCATAAAGCTCATACGCCAATAGCAGATTAGGAAGATTAGCTGTGAGCCTCAAGTTTCTACAGGATATTAAGTGCATAGCCCCTAGTTTTAATTCATAGCAAGTTCTTAACCTACACTTCCTGTTTATTTCCAATCATCAAGAAGGCGTCTGCAAAATATGAAGGGTTCCAATACTGTATGAATAACTGTGATGCATTTCGTTTCTGGTTGAAATTATAGATATTGTTAATCATCTAGTGAGATATGACGCAAAGTTGGGATTTCGATGGACTTCTTCGAAATCACGAATTGTTCCCTCCAACGAATTTCCATAGGAATAGCACCAAGGTAAAGGAATCTCTGCTGACTGTTTTTAACTATGCTGCAGCATACATAGTCAGCTGAAGTACCCAACCATCTAAAATATTAACTGTATTGGAAACGTGACTGATGAACAGAGAAACGTTACTGAAGAATAGACGATATAATCCTGTTATTAAATGACCAATCACCGTACTTCAGTGTGAAATTTTTGTAATTCAAGGTCAGTTTACTTCGCAAGCACTTGACAGTTATGTTGCACAACACAATCAAAGTGAATCCGGAAAAGGGGGAAGAGTTTTTGATGTGGTTTTGTTCTCTGAGCTGGATGGTTAGTTTGCGAAGCTTTCATCACCTTACTGGGTGACATCTTCAGCGCATACTTCAAATTGAAGTATGCGCTGAAGATGTCACCCAGTAAGGTGATGAAAGCTTCGCAAACTAACCATCCAGCTCAGAGAACAAAACCACATCAAAATCATCCACCTGAGCTACAAATCTTCTCTATAATATCTAAGGGGGAAGAGTATTCTATGGTGAGACGCTGTTATACGACCGTTAGTTACACTGCACTTGTTTATAAAGTAAAGGTGATTAAAAATATCCATAGGAAGAAAAATTGATAAACTTGTTATCATTGTTAAGCATTGATTCATTTTCTATTCCCAAGTAAAAGTATCTCATAGACTGGATTGGTTCTGAAACTATTACCGCCACTACAGTGCATTCGTTCCCTGTTATACAAACACATCACGACCAACTGAAAGTGAAAAGAAAGTTAGCTCAATATTTCAGCAATCTTCTCGACATTTCACAATACACTATTCGGTAAGGAGATTTCTTGAAGTACAACAGATGCCTTATGGGCTTCAGTTTGACTTCAAGACATGAGTGTTTCGTAAGTCTAAGACTTCAGTTTAACCCGTTCTGCTCCCAGCATATATTCAGCGTCTTGCTGAACTGGCAGAAAAGTTTAGCACACACACACACACATACAAACCGAAGAAGATAAGAGCCACGATACATACACTGACTGTTTACTTAGTTTAGGTATTTTGAATTTTCCTGAAGATACTTTCTTTCTCTTTTTCCTACAGAAACAGTTGTACTCAAAATGCATTAAAGTGATTTTATCAGTGAATAAATAGAGAGTAGTACTGGTAGTAATGAATACCAAGTGTTTACTAGTAAATGAAAAATCAATGTGTTGCAACGCCACCGATTGCTATATACATGCATGCATATCATTTACCTGAACAGATTTAGAATGCTATAAAGTATTTCACATTAAATCTCAAGTCAATTATATCATAAGTGATGTAGGGATAATACCTAGCGGCCATGTTTAATAATCAATATTATCAGCCGTTACTTAAAGTAGTACACTCTTGAAGTATATATCACTACTACTAGTGCAATCAATATTATAATTTCAAATGACCACATGATTAAATACCGAAAAAAGCACATACTGTCTCAATAAATATCGCTGAACCAAGTTGGTGTGTAAAATGATTTTTTGTTTGAGAAAGAGAAATCAAATAAATCACTGTTGAAAACTTATTTCTATTCACACTGATTTAAAGATAAACAGAACAATAATAACAGTAGTAATACAAGTGAATATTTCTCATATAAAAATTGAAGTGTTATTTCAAACACAGAATAATTGACAGGATATTCAGTACACCGATACTATGTCCACTTGTGCCAGTTAGACTTGAACCTGAATGCCAATGAATGGCTTCAATAAACAGATGAGTGAATTAGTGAATGAGTGAGTGAGTGAGCGATTACAACAATCATTCTCAGTTTTAAGAATATAAGTTCATTTTAATCTGCGTAAATTAAAGCCTTGGAAATATAAATAGCCCACAGAAAAATTGACCTGCAAAATATTTACAAAAC